GGAGAACCATCTTGCTGCCCTGCGTTCTTCATGGGGGCAGATCCAGAGGGCCTTGAGGGACTCAGCTCAGCACCAGAAGTTCCAGGCTGATCGCAGACGGTTGCCCGCTCCTTCATACCAGGTCGGCGATCGGGTGTGGTTGTCTACTCGCAACCTCAATCTTCGGGTGCCCACACCCAAACTAGCTCCCCGTTTTGTCGGTCCTTTCCGCATTCTCCGCAAAGTGAATCCGGTGGCCTATGCCCTTGCCCTTCCGTCTGGGATGCGGATCTCCAATATCTTTCATGTTTCTCTGTTGAAACCTCTGATCTGCAATTGCTTCACTACCTCTCTGCCTCGGCCCCGTCCTGTCCGGGTTGATGGTCATGAGGAGTATGAAGTGAGCCGGATCCTGGACTCTCGATTGGTGCGCGGTCGATTACAGTTCCTGGTTCATTGGCGCGGTTATGGTCCTGAAGAGCGTTCCTGGGTTCCTTCTGCGGATGTCCATGCTCCTGCCCTCCTCCGCGCTTTTCATACCCGCTTTCCTCAGAAACCTTTTGTTGAGCCGCGGAGGGGGGAGGGGCCCTTGAGGAGGAGGTACTGTCAAGGTCCTACCTTTTCCCTGAGGTTATGTTACTCCATGTGCTGGCGTCCATCTTGGATTCTGCTGTGCATGGTGGGAATCCTTTTTATGCCTTCAGGTCTCTGAGGTCCACCCCCCAGAGGGGCGTGGCTGATGACATATAAGCCTGTGGCCCGCACATGCTCTTTGCACTTGTGCCTTGTGTCTTGGTGTTACTATTACTCTGTTCTGACTCTCGTGACTCTCCTGGTATTCTGATTCGACTTGTGACTTGACTATTCTTTGTATTCTCCTTTGATCTGACCCTCTGTTGCTGAACCCGGCTCATGACCTGTGATTCTCGTCTGCTGTCCTGTACTGTTTTGTCCTGTTGTTGTTGACCCCGGCCTGTCTGACTACTCTTTTGTCTCTTCCACCAGCTACATGCCATTGGCGGCGGCCATTACCGCAGCTGAGGTGTCTCGGGGGCCGCGACCTGGTTCCTGGCTGCGTCAAGTCCATCCCCACCATCAGGGGCCCTGGTGAAGGGCAGCCTGGGACTTAGACTCCGCGCCCTGAGGGACTTCGGTCTGTGGGTGGTGGTTGTCGTCAGCCAGTGCGTTACATTGTTAGGCCTGCCTGTCCGTTCCTCGGCTCCTGCCCTGACATTGGGCTTCTCCCTGTCACCCAAAACAAAAGCAAACCTTTTCTTGTAGGTATAGTACACACACACAGCTCTCTCAGAATACCTCTCTGAGTCCCAGCCACGAGCAACTCCTTGCTCCAGCCCTGCCCTTTTTGTATCACCTGTTGGTGGTCATCAGTGGAGCCCAAACTCTGGTCCGGATCCACCTCCTCAACTGTGGCCCCGAAAACCCGGAGTGGACTCCACCTAAACTGCCAGGTATGAGCGTATGCGAGGTGACACATAGAGTCCCTCTATCACCTCGCCGTTCATACTGTCACATAACACACACTATATTTCGAAATGTATTGGGACACCCCTTCAAATCATTGGGTTCAGGTGTTTCAATAAAAAAAAAAAAGGTGTCTTAAACTCTCTCTTAAAGGGACCAAAACCCAGCTAGTGAGGAAATATATCTTCCATCCAGGACCCCTCCCTGGTATCCTGTACTTTATATAAATTTAAAAAAAAAAATTAAATAAATGATATATATATATATATATATATATATATATATACACACATACTGTATATATATATATATATATACACACACACACTATATTGCCAAAAGTATTGGGACACCCCTCCAAATCATTGGGTTCAGGTGTTTCAATCACCTCCATGGCCACAGGTGTATACAATCAAGCACCTAGGCATGCAGACTGCTTCTATAAGCATTTGTGAAAGAATCAGTAACTCTCAGGAGCTCAGGGAATTCAAGTGTGGTACCATGATAGGCTGCCATCTGTGCAATAGGTCCATACGTGAAATTTCCTTGCTACTAAATATTCCACAATCAGCTTTTAGTGGTATTATAACAAAGTGGAAGCAACTGAAAATAACAGCAACTCAGACACGAAGTGGTAGACCATGTAAAATGAAAGAGCGGGGTCAGCGCACGCTGAAGTGCACAGTGCGCAAAAGTCACCAACTGTCTGCAGAGTCAATAGCTAAAGACCTCTAAACTTCATGTGTCCTTCAGATTAGCACAACAACAGTGCATAGAGAGCTTCATCCATGGCCGAGCAGCTGCATCCATGCCTTACATCACCAACTGCAATGCAAAGCGTCGAATGCAGTGGTGTAAAGCATGCCGGCACTGGACTCTAGAGCAGTGGAGACGTTCTCTGCAGTGATGAATCACGCCTCTCTGTCTAGCAATCTGATGAACATGTCTGGGTTTGGCGATTGCCTGGAGAACGATACTTGCCTGACTGCATTGTGCCAAGTGTAAAGTTTGGTGGAGGGGGGATTATGGTGCGGGGTTGTTTTTCAGGGGTTGGGCTTGGCCTCTTAGTTCCAGTGAAGGGAACTCTTAAGGCATCAGCATAGTAAGACATTATGGACAATTTCTTGCTGCCAACTTTGTGGGAACAGTTTGGGGATGGCCCCTTCCTTTTCCAACATGACTGCGCACCAGTGCACAAAGCAAGGTCCATAAAGACATGGATGAGCAAGTTTGGGGGGGGACGAACTTGATGGGCCTGCACAGAGTCCTGACCTCAACCCGATAGAAAACGTTTGGGATGAATTAGACTGTAGACTGTGAGCCAGGCCTTCTTGTCCGACATCAGTGCCTGACCTCACAAATGAACTTTAATGGGATGCCATTAAAGTTCATGTGTGTGTAGAGGCAGGCATTCTAATACTTTTGGCAATATAGTGTGTACATATACAGTAGATACATCAAAACAGCAGTGTTTCTATTATTGATGTTTCAATTTTAGATTTGTTTGTATTTCTTTATGGGTGAGCACCTGGGCATTTACCTCAAACATAGAGTGCGGTGGCTACCCTTGGGACAGTATACACACACACACACACACACACATATATATATATATATATATATATATATATACACTGTATTATATCCCAACAAAAAAGAACATTAACTTTAACTGCCTAAAAAGTATTAGCCTGAGATCAGCTTTAAAGTGGCTGTAAACCTCAGACATGAAATATGAACAAAGCATAACTCTATATAGTGTGTGTTCATCTCAATTAACCCCCTCCCGCTCGCCATATAGTAATGTGATGGACGCAAGGTGGCTCTCTCGTTCTGGGAGGACGTCACATGACGTCCTCCCATTCTAACCGCACATGCGCGGCTCCCAGTGAGTGCAGCGTGGCGATCGGCAGTGCGCTGCGTCCCCTCGGACACAGAGGATCACTGATCCATGGAAAGAGCCGAAGATGTCGGCTCAGTCATGTGATCAGCTGTGTGCAATCACAGCTGATCACATGTAAACAGGGAAATGCCGGTTATCGGCATTTCTCTCCTCTTGAGCTGTCACGCTGACAGCTCGAGAGGAGAGGAGAGGAGAAACGGTAATCGGCATTCCGCGGAGGGGACATGTACACTGATCATCAGAGCACTGATGATCAGTGTGCCCTGATGATCAGTTTAGCCCCAGCAGTGCCACCAGTCAGTGTCCATCAGTGCCAGCTGTCAGTGCTCATCAGTGCCACGTGCCAGTGCCCATGAGTGCCACATCAATGCCACATATCAGTGCCTACCAGTGCACATCAATTCCACATATCCGTGCCCATCTGAGCTGCCTTTCAGTTTCACCTATCAGTGCCAGTCAGTGCCACCTATCAATGTCAATCAGTGCCACCTATCAGTGCTGCCAATCAGTGCCACCTATCAGTGCCAGTCAGTGCCGCCTATCAGTGCCAGTTAGGGCTGCCTATCAGTGCGCATCAGTGCCGCCTATCAGTGCCTGTCAGTGCCGCCTAACAGTGCCAGTCAGTGCCGCCTAACAGTGCTAGTCAGTGCCTCCTATCAGTGCCACCTATCAGTGATGCCTTTCAGTGCCCATCAGTGATGCCTGTCAATGCCCATCAGTGCCACCTACCAGTGCCTCCTCATCAGTGCCCATCAGTGCCACCTATCAGTGTCCATCAGTGCAGCCTATCAGTCCCCATCACTGCAGCCTCATTACCGCACATCAGTGAAGGAGAAAAATCACTTATTTACAATATTTTATAACAAAAACAAGAATTTTTTTTCAAAATTTTCAGTGGTTTTTGGTTTAAGAAAAAATTAAAAACCCAGAGGTGATTAAATACCACCAAAATAAAGCTCTGTCACAAAACAAATGATAAAAATTTTCATATGGGTACAGTGTTGCATGACTGCGCAATTGTCATTCAAAGTGCAACAGCTGTAAATTGGCCTGGGCAGGAAGGGGGTATAAGTGCCCTGTAGGCTTGTGGTTTGGAGCACTAAGTGTCATTTCTCGCTGCTGCTTTATTCCTTTGCTATAAGCATGAATTCCTTCTGACAAGTTTCCCTGACAAGAAAAAAATGGTGACAGGGGAGGGACCTCCAGCAGGTTGACAGCCTCAGCTCTGTTCCTGGGAGCTGTGTGAAGGGGTGTGTGTCTCCTCCCTCCAATCAGCTCTAAGAGCTCTCCTCACTGATGAAATGCTCAATGCTTTTTGGAGCTGAGAGATCCTGTGTAAACTCTGCACTTTGAAAAGATGTAGGGGAAAATACCTGTAGATAAACAGGTACAACTTATGTAGGAGGATTTCATCTCTATGGATCACCTGAGGCCAGTCACTTCACTGGGCATATGTGAGAGTTTACAATCACGTTAATTTGTTAGCCAAGTCCATCTAAATCCACTAGTCTAACACTACCCTCTCCCCAGATAGACAATGCTGCTGTATAGGAATGGCGGCATTGCTACTCCATCCAGAGTAGAGACATCTCAAGACAGGAAAGTGTATTACTGCCTGGATCACCGGGTGGAAAAAAAGGGGGAAAAAAATGAATGCAGCCTTCACATGGAAAGAAGAAGTGACATTGTTGGAGGCCGTTGACCAGACAGAGGAGGTGAATGTGAGTTTACAGTCACAATACACTCATCCAGTGAAAGTAGAGATAGAGGAAAAATCATCAACGGAACGCTTATTCCAATGGTAACTGTAATAGTGGCCATTCACATAATCATTCAATGTATTTGAATCTATGAGTTATCAAAATGACATAGAAGTCGATGTAAGCATTTGCAAAGACAGAACAAATGTTCATTGCATTGTTTATGATATAGTTATCTCCCATGATCCTCAGCTCCATCCTGTGGGCATAATGCAGGATTTTTGAAATACCACAATCAATCAATAAAATAACAAACAAAAAAAAAAACATATTATATCCATTAGATGGAACTGATGATCTTAGGAAATATTGTATTACAAACAATATGGCAATAATTTGTAGTGCCTGTGAAAATGCCTAATTATTTACACAATGATTTTTAGCAAAACTGATTAATTTCTGCAAAAGTCTTATGATTGGTCTGCCCAAAATAATCCACTTGTAGGAAAGGAGATAGATTGATCATCGTTAGGTGTATGGAGCATCAAATGATCTCTTTGATCTTCAGTATTTTTCTCCCAGACAGTAAACCAGTTGATAGTATGATGGTAAAAGAAAATGATTCAATTTATGGCCATCATTAAGCTTACCACAGACTTTACAACCACTGTATTTTAAATTCACCAACATGCTTTGTAGTGCATGAATTAAAAGTAAAGGGAAATCTCTGGAAGAGGATTCCCAGTGCAAAGAATAATGGACAAGGGTTTTAAAGCTTTAATCACAGAACTTACCTGTAAGTATGTCCCACGTTGTGCAGGCAGCTGGATCCTACCAAATCTTCACTGCAGTGATGCCCGTCCTCTTCCTGTGTCTGAACTTCTGACACTGCAGTGGTTATCAGCTTTGGTCTTCAGGTGGATGGTCAAGCTGGGACCCGCCCCCTCCTTCTTCCTCCTCCATAGAGAAAATTTCTTTCATTATACTGTTTTGTAACATAATCTGTGAATGGGAGAGGCTGATCTGTGACAGGATTTCCTCCCTCATTCAGAGATTGTGTTACAGGCAGTTTAATCAGTGAAATAACTTTTCTCTATGGAGGAGGAATAAGGAGAGGGTGTCCCCACTAGGGCATCTGTACCTCTATTCTGCCTCAAGGTCGGAGCTATTAACCATTTCAGTGCTGGAAGTTCAGCGACAGGAAGAGGACAGGCATCTCTGCAGTAAAGATTTCCCCAGGATCCAGCTGCCTGCACAACTGCAGAACATGGGACATACTTCATTACAGGTAAGTGATTTTTTTTTTTACTTTTTCTAAGATAAACTTCAGCTTTAACCTTTCCCTCTGCTATCTAATAAAAAAAAAATAGAATTCTTGACATCTCAAGCAACATAAATTGCAAAAAACTTTAAAGTGTGGGCCAGTCCATCAAACAGCTGGTTGATATCACGTGGGGTATGCATGAGATGGAAAAATAAGCTCAACGAAACACAATCCTGTTTTAAAAAAAATTTTAAAAAATAGACCTGATTGAATGGGGCTCTATGGAGCTTGTGACCAAGCTGAGAAAATGATGAGAAGCAAGAATTGTCTAACACACTAACTGCAGAGCAGTGCACTGATAAAGATGCAATTATTGCAACAAAAGGAAAGCACTCAGATATAGAAAACATATGATTTCCTGGAAATAGCTTTTGGTCAATAAAGAGCATGTAAGAAAGTGCAAGACAATGCAAATAAAAGCAAGGGGCCTACCATTAGGACATTTATCATTACAGTCCGTGTGAATACTTTTAGAAAGTTTATTGAAGCTTGCCAAGAAATATACATTCCAAATTGAGTCTGAAAAGTACAGACGCAGTCTATGCAACAAGCAAGAAAAATCTAATTCAAGGGAACATTTTGGCTTTAAACTGAATCAGAGGACGCGGCTTTCATATTGAATGGCCCTAATGTTCTTTCTTCTTTATCTTGTGCAGTTAGCTGTGCGGCTTTACTTTAATCCCTTTAGTTGTCGATATTCTCATCATCTAAATGAGCCTGCAAAAATACCAACCAGCACCGTTATTCCATAAATAAGTGTTAGATGCAGTAAGCCATATCAGCCAATCAGAGTTTACTTAAAGGGTAACTCCTCTTTTGTTGGAAAAAATATAGCACAAAAAAAGAATATAGCATATGCCAGCCATTCTCAGCTAGGGTTCTGTGGAACCCTAGGGTTCCTCCAAGGTTGCTTGGGGTTCCTTGAGCAATGAGCAATTTCTGCCTCTCAGATAAGTTCCTACCGGGGGCAGACTGACCATTTTGTTCACTCGTTTGGCTGGCCATCTCCTATGGACCAAAGGAGTGCAGTTTGTTCTGCAATCCTGTGACTCACTTTCAGCTGACATCACTCAACTGATCCAAGCTGGGGAAAAGTTTGGACCATATGGTCAGGATCCACCCAGGAGCCTGGAGCAGCACCTGGCTCTGCTTGGGTAGTGTGATCACTGCATAGGCAAAGAGAGCAATGTGAACAATCTGCAGACAGCTCACATCCAAGGGCAGACTGACCATTTGGAAACTCGGGCAGTGCCCGAGGGCCCGGGTTCAGTAGGGGGCCCCATGAGATGCCCCTAGTACCTTTTTCATAGGTTTTTTTGAGTTTGGGCAAGGACACAGGGGCCCCATGATCCCCTATTGCCCGGGGGCCCCATGAGTTGTCAGTCCGCCCCTGGTTCCTACTGACTCCAATTATCTTTTTAGCTATCTTCCCAGTGACCACAAATGTAAGAAACATTTTTCCCACTGACCAGCACACTGTAATGGTCAGTATCAAGAGCTTTATTATTTATTACAGGTACTTATATAGCGTCATCAGTTTACGCAGTGTTTTACATATATACACTCACTGCCACTTTATTAGGTACACCTTGCTAGTACCGGGTTTGACATAGATTCAACAAGGTGTTGGAAACATTCCTCAGATATTTTGGTCCATATTGAAGTGATAGCATTACGCAGTTGCTTCAGATTTGTTGGCTGCACATCCATGATGCTAGTCTTCCACCACATCCCAATGGTGCTCTATAGGATTGAGATCTGGTGACTGTGGAGACCATTGGAGTACAGTGAACTCAATGTCATGTTAAAGAAACAAGTTTGAGATGATTTGAGCTTTGTGACATTGTGCATTATCTTGCTGGAAGTAACCAGCAGAAGATGGGTACACTGTAGCCATAAAGGGATGGACATGGTCAGCAACAATACTCAGGTAGGCCATGGCATTTAAATGATACTCAATTGGTACTAAGGGGTCCAAAGTGTGCCAAGAAAATAACCCCCACACCATTACACCACCACCACCAGTCTGAACCGTTGATACAGGGCAGGATGGATCCATGCTTTCATGCTGTTTATGCCAAATTCAGACTCTACCATCTGAGTGTCACAGCTGAAATCAGGACTCATTAGAATAGGCGACATCTTTCCAATCTTCTGTTGTCCAATTTTGGTGAGCCTGTGCAAATTGTAGCCTCCGTTTCCTGTTCTTAGCTGACAGGAGAGGCACCCGGTATGGTCTTCTGCTGTTGTAGCCCATCTGCTTCAAGGTTCGATGTGTTATGTGTTCAGAGATGTATTCTGTATACCTTGGCTGTAACGAGTGGTTATTTGAGTTACTGTTGCCTTTTTATCATCTTGAAGCAGTCTGCGGATTCTCCTCTGACCTTTGACATCAACAAGGCATTTTCGTCCACACAACTGGCACACACTGGATATTTTCTCTTTTTTGGACCATTCCCTGTAAACCCTAGAGGTGGTTGTGTGTGAAAATCCCAGTAAATCAGCAGCTTTTGAAATACTCAGACCAGCCCGTCTGGCACCAACAACCATGCCGCATTCTTAAATCCCCTTTGTTCCCCATTCTGATGCTCGGTTTGTACTTCAGCAAATCATCTTCACCATGTCTAGATATCTAAATGCATTGAGTTGCTGCCATGTAATTGGCTGACTAGCAAATTGTGTTACCAAGCAATTGAACAAGTGTATCTCCTAACAATGGCCGGTGAGTGTATATTGTACATTTACATCAGTCTCTGCCCTCATGGAAC